ATAAAGAGTTCCAAAAATAAGGCCTTTTTCTGACTTGAAAGATGAAAAGGATACTCCAAAGCACTATTAGGTTTCTCTGGTTCTTCATATAAGGCTACCAATACTGCAAATCAAAAAGCAGAAAAAGCAACAATTAAAGTCTTAAATTTGAATGATTGAAATCACAGTCTATATTAAGTGTCTATTATGTCAAGCACATTGCTAGGAGTGTCCATACCATGGTGAATAAGACAGACAAGGTCCCTGCTTTCAATGAATTTGTAGTCTAGTGCAAAAGGTAAGCAAGAAACTGATGCAGAAAGAATCAAGGGACAATCAAAATAGTGGGTTATGGGAGCACAGTGGAAGAACACCTAACCTGCAAGTTCAGTTGGACTCTGATCCTAAGAACCCGCAAGGAAACATTTTAAACAGGAAGGTGACAGGGTCACTCTTTACTGCTGTGTGGAACATCAACGAGTGGGACAAGAACAAAGCAGTTAAGAGGATGATATGGTCATCCTGTTGAAAAAGATAGTGACTTGGCCCTGGCCAGGTGGCTCAGTCAACTGGAGCATCATCCCATACACCAAAAGGCTGAAGGTTCGATCCCCAGTTGGGGTGTATGCAGGAGGCAACAGATAAAAGTTTCTCTTTATCTCTCTCCCCACCTCCCAACCCCATTTCCTCTCTCTGTAAAAATCAATATACATATCCTTTGGTGAGGGTTTTTAAAAAAAAAAGTGACCTGCACTAAAGTAATAGAGGAGTAGAAACATGGTAGATAAATTTGAGAAAAATGCAGGAGAGAATCAACATGGCTATTGTAATTACTGAAAATTTTTTAATTCAAAATGTTCTTAAAGAATAAAGTTTCAGCCCTTGCTGGTACGGCCCAGTTGCACATTGGCCTGCAAACCAAAGGGTCACCAGTTCGATTCCCAGACAGGGCACACTCCTGGGTTGCGAGACAAGTCCCCAGTAGGGGGCACATGAGAGGCAACCACACATTGATGTTTCTCTCCCTCTCTCCCTCCCTTCCCCTCTGTCTAAAAATAAATAAAATATTTTTTTAAAAAGAGTAAAGTTTCATGCATAACATGCTAAATAATCACCAGCCAAAAATTTTGCCAGTAGTTAACATGCTCAAATCAACATTCAAATATAACACTTTAGTGTTTTCATATTCAATAGCTCGTGTCAGCACTACCTTGCTCATCTTCTATTGAACAAATTCCTACCAGGATTTACTCAGACAAAAATCTCTCTAAACCAGTGGTTAACTATTTTGTGCATGGAACCCCCTGAAAAATCTGATAAAGGAAAAAAAAAGTACACAAAAAAAGGTGCATATCTAGATCCCAAGTTAAGAACTTTTGTTGTAAACCAACTTACATGCTTCCCCTTTATTTTTTAGAGTTTTAGTAACTCATCAAAATAAGAGTGTGGAAAAACTCAAATGGGCAACTACTTTGAATTCTGGTAGTTACTCTTCTCTCTAAATACATTTACAACACTTTTTTGAGAAGTGGGTATATTTACATCACTGCTACATTCTTCTCGACCCATCAATATGTTAGAGTATCGTTTAATTCCTCTACTTATTACCTTTTTCTTTAAATTACAAACTCAAACTTCTCTTTCTTCCATTAATTTCCACTGATCTCTACTGAGTCCTAATTTTATAAGACATGAATACTCTTATCCTTTCTTCTTTTTTCCCCATCCTATTTCTTTCAACCTTTAAATTTCTGTCAGTGGTACAAGGCTGATAATTACAGAACATGATGTAAATGTCAAGTTTTCTGTGCTTTTTCTATAGATGGAATACACTTCTTTTTAATCAGACAAGAAAAACTTGATACCTGATGTTCCACTTTTTGCCTTAGCAGCAAGGATTTTAGAGGTTGATACAGTGCTCAAAATAACTAAAATTCCTCTTCTTCCAAATGATTTATCATCTTTATCTTTAGACATCCTGTCTTTTAGTGTTTTTAATGTTAGAAGCAATTTCAAATGCTCTTGGAAATACACTAGATAAAAATTATAAATTAAATCTATGTAAAGTACCTATGTTTGAAGCTGAAAATCAAGTTTCAAATAGAGCACATCAGTAGATAGCATATTAGGTTGTCTGATGTTATTTAGGAAACTGGAAGTGTAGATAGGTTGAGGGGTTAGACACCAGTAGCTGTGAGCAATGGAAAAGAAGCCACCAGTGGTTTCCAATCTTGTGAAGAAAAATCGATGTATGGCCACAAGGCTGTACAACCTAAGTATCAGCTCCCACAAGGGTCACTTCCCTGCCCCTTACCAGTCTGCCTTTCACTTGCTCTATCCACCCACTCTGGCCTCTTTACACTTCCTGGAACTCCTAACATCGGAAATTACATTCAGGTCTCTGTCCAGATGCTACTACCTAAGAGAGGTCTTCCCCGACACCACCCATCCCACATAAAATGGCACACCCAACCCTCTTTATTCCCTACCTCGCTATGTTTTTTTGTTTTTGGTTTTTTTTTGTTTTTGGTTTTTGTTTTTGTAACACCACTGGCTGGGACTATGTATTATGTCTCCCCAAACTAGGATATAAGCTCATTTAGAGCAGGGAAATTTTTCTTTCTACTGCTGTGTTGCCAGTACCTAGAACACAGACCTGAATGAAATGGTTAAATAAGGGAAAGAAATGAACTTGTAGAGTTTTTTTGAGGGGGGAGGGCCTCCAAGAATCTGTGACACTTGCCGAAACAACAGAGGAAAAGGCTTTCATACCATAGTCCCTTAACGTTTGCTGAAATTTATTTGCAAAGAGAGAGAGAAACTAGAACCTAAACCCTTCCATGGTAGGTAGCCAAAGTAAAATTACCGGTCCATGCTTTGGGATTAAAAGTCCTGCTTTCTGCTAAGGTACAGCTATTCTTTTAGAATTTTTTCCTAACCTTTGCTTCTGCCCAAAGAACAGCTACCAAATTATTCCCCAGACACTTACTGTTCTTTTCGTTTGGACCCTGGTCCTCATCCCTGGGCATTCAAATGACTGCTGAGCGAATGAAATAGGCAGCACCCCAACCATCTCTTGAAACCCTCTAGCTCCACGCACCCTCATTGAGCCCCGGAGGAAGAGACACAGTGTAACAGCTTCCATTTTAAAATGTGAAAACGATATAACCATTTTGATGAGCTATCAGGCTGCTTAATCTGTAATAATACTTTAATTATGAAATCTGCACAGTATAGGAACTGAAGTGAACTATGAAACGCGGGCTGAAAAGCCACAGCCTGATGACTATGTATCAATCGCCTACTTTGGGGATTAGACTCACTTAGCTACTTCATAGCACACGTTCACATCTGTAAAATTCACCACTTTATTCGAGCTTTAATGTTTCTTAATAGGATTTTGAGGACTCCGCAGAAACTAAGGCGGGAGGAATTGGGATCTCAAGATCTTTAGCAAACATGCCCACAGCGGCTGCTCGAGGCAAAGCAACGGAAGTTGAAGAGACTTTGCAACAGCTGCAAGAGTTTCACTCCCGGCCGAGGGAGTGGTAGCGTGAGCTAGGTAGGCTACCCGACCCGAGCCCGAGCGGTGTCCCACAGCCAGGCGTGCGCGGAACCCCGAGGCCCACGTCGCTGGACCTCGGACAGGTCCCACCTGTACTCCCTCCTTCCACACGCCACGGAACGTCAGGGGCGCAGCCCTGAGAAGCACGACGAGGTCACTAGGAATCCTCTCCTATACCATACTCACCCTTGGTCAGCGTGTCCAGCACTCCTGACTTCTCCAAGTACCTCCGGAACTGCTCGCGCTTCGAGTCGGCGGCCTGAGGAGACACGGCGGGTCAGTGGCCGAAACCGGGGGCCGGAGCAGGAAGAAGGCGCTGGGAGCTCGACAAACCCCGCCTCCGCATCGCTACCTCAGACCCCCAAAACCTGCGCGCGCGCGCCCCAACTCCCACCCGGAGCCGACCAGCGGCTGGCCACCGCCCGCACGCCCCCCTCACTTTGTAATGGGCCATAGTGACAGCGGCAGCGGCGTAGCTGGCGCCGGAGACCGTGGCTGGCGGGCTCTGAGCAGCACTGCACATGCGCGGAAGGGCGCGCGCGCTTGCGCTCTTGCAAACTACGGTCCGGGGTGGACGGGGTGTGGCCTGTTTTCATGGCGACCAGGACGCTCTGAATGCCCCATGGTGGGCTGAGGCGATAGAGTCTGCGTAAACCCGCCCATCTGGCTCTTCTGACAGCGCTTTCTTTCCTCTTCCTGTCCTTGCAGCGGTTCGGTTGCTTAGAGAGAAGCGAAGTTTCAGTAACTCTGGACAGCATCCGCGTCGGACTAAAGATGGGCGTGGCGCCCCGGGGGCAGAGCCTCAGAAGCCCGGGACTACTAGGACTTTGACCGCGGGGAGGATCTCCCGGTACCGATAGTGGGCGGACCTCCCTCAATTGAGACCTCGAAGCCTTGGTAACTTATACCTCTGAGATAGCTTTTTGGCTTTCACCCTAACAAGTTCTCGCAACTGACGCAGGGCGACCCTTAGATTGCCAATGGCTTGAGGCGTGTGTTTAGAATCGTATGTTTCGGTTCTAGCTTTCACGTTTGGCGTTTCCTTGTTTTGTTACTTGCTTAATGTGGGCCTGTGGAGGGTGAGAGGTAACGTGTTAATCATAGCTAGCACTTTTGAGCGCTGTGTGCCAGGCACTGAATTAAACACGTGTTTCTTATTTTAACTTTCACAGTGTACCTGTATAGTAGATAATGTTAGTAAAGGGACAAGGTTAGATAACTAGTTAGTAGAAGCATCGAATCACGATGCCATAAACTGGTCAAAGAAAGCCACCAACTTTTTAAAATTTTTATTTACTGGATAATAACATTATGATTATATTCACGACACATTAGGTTGAAGTCTATAAAGAAACTTAAGTCCCAGGAACAAAAAAATTTAACCAGTGCGCACAAATAAAAGATCAGTAACTAAAAGAAGGAATTCTATACATCAAGAACAATCTCTGAAGGACTGTGACCCCTTCAGAGAAAAACTTCGTTCCAATCCATTTAGTCTCAATTCTGAACATATGATTTCCCCAAACTCAGTTTTCACAAATTCTCAAGGGAGCTCGGAAAAAAGTAATCTTGATTTGGTAACTCTATGCTATTGTTTTTAAAGCTACTCCTTCACAATTCAGAATTGGAACTGTTTTTCCCTTTTTAAAATGGATTTGCATTTGCCCATGTTAACATCTGGTCTTTAGAGCTGTCCTTATCTGTTTTGTCTGTGTTCCGCTCTCACTAGGCTACTTCTGTGATGATATAATATGCAGAATGTCTAAAAGCCAACAGTTCAGGTCTGAAGGTCTGTCCGAGCCCACCTACTAATGAGATTGTTGGCAACAGTGTTTTGGAGGACAAGCAGTAGGAGGATTATTGCAGGTTCTGACCAACTCAGATCCCAAGGACAGCTCTCCCAAAGAATCAGCAGTGTCTGGAATGTCAAATTGTTGGAATTCTCCTTGTAAAGAAGAAAGGGTTCTAATTGTGCCTTCTGTGAACTGACTCTTGAGGCTACTTTTAGGAGGTGACAGAGGTGACACCCAATTTTCATCTTCTGTAGAGGAACTCTGTGTAGCACGAAGCCACCTTGGTTCCCCGATGCAGTTAACTGGCAGAGAGAAAACTGTTTGGGGTGATTGACCCACGTGGTTGTCCAGATCTATAGCAACACCTAGAATGATACAGTGACCTGTAGCGTAATGGTTTCTTTTGCTGTCTTTGCTGTCAGTTTCTCTTTTTTTTCCTTAACTGGTTACCATTAATTCCTTTTCTAGGTTTTTTATGAGTGTTTTCATTAGTACTTGAGCCAATGTGTTGAATATGACTACAGGTAGTACCAAGTGTGCACATCTCATTAGAAGGTACAGTTTCCTGTTCATCCAAAATGTATTTCTCATCATTTCTATTGTGATTGTTAGGATCTGCCTGAAATGCAGAGGAATTGAATCTAGGATACACTGTTGTATATGTTTGCTCTTCCACTCTCAGATCATAATCAGGTGCAGAAAGGGTTGCTTCAGTGAATTTGCAGATGTGCTCTGGTATTTGGCAAGATTTTGTTTTGACCTGTTTGAATAGAATTCATTATGCTCATCCTTCAATTTATTTTGTCCCCAAAGTCCTCTTTTAATCTTTTTAAAGCCTAGGTAGAAAATTTCTAGGACATTTAAGAAAAGTGACACAGTGGCTATGAATTGCATAAATAATAGGAATATTGTCTTTTCTGTTGGCCTTGAGACAAAACAATCAATTATATTTGGACATGGATATCCATGGCATTTAAATAGAGGCTCTATATGAAATCCAGATGATAAAGTTCTTGTTTCAATCTCCTCCAACCCCAAGACAGTTCAAACTCTACCCCCTCCAGTTCTCCTCTTGGTTGAACTTTCTCCCTCTGCCTCTTTCTCCAGAATTCTTAGTCAGTACAAAGCATGGCCCATGTAGACCAAGGATGGTAAAGACGCAAAAATCACCTGCAGAACCCAGTATCTGCAGGGAGATGGGAAAAGCCCGGTCATAGCATACATTTCTGCACCCAGGTTGTTTTGTACTACAGATGAAGCCAGACTGCTCATCATTCCAGACATCTTCAGCTACTGCACCCCGAACAAGCATATGGAATATGAACAGGGTGGTGAGCCAGATCTTTCCAATTATGGTGGAGTGGATGTGAACTTCCTCCAGAATGCCTCCAAGGAAATTCCAGTCCCCAGTGTTTGTTTAGTCCACCATCTTAGCTCTGAACCCCATCAACTAGGAGGCATAAAGTCTTCCATTCTGACGGTGTGCTATTTCTCAAAGCAAACCTATGGCCAAAATATGAACAAAGCATCAGTCTATCAGTGCACTGGTTGCTTGACCTTTTCCCTAGAAAGTTGTGATAATCTGTTACCAAGAATATATTTAAGATATCAGGCCCTGGCTGGTGTGGCTCAGTGGACTGAGAACCAACCTGCGAGCCAAAGGGCCACCAGTTTGATTCCCAGTCAAGGCACATGCCTGGGTTGTGGGCCAGGCCCCCAGAGGGGCATGGGAGGCAACCACACATTGATGTTTCTCTCCCTCTTTTTCCCTCCCTTCCCCTCTCTGTAAAAATAAATAAATAATATATTTTAAAAAGAAAAAAATAGAAAATATGTTCTTTAAAAAAAGATATCAGGAATTTAAATTCACTTATGTTTAGACCTCATAATTCAAAATTGTCGGGGGAAGCATGATATTGGGGAGGGGTATACATAATGTCTACAAAAAATTGAACCATAGGACTCCCTGTAAGAAAGGAGTCTTCTTACTTAAAGTTTGTTGTTTTATTTTTTTTTTAACTAAGAGCTTTTGGAGAGAGTACTAAAACTACTGATTTGATCTTATAAACCTATTAAGATTATTTTATATAAAAGGTATAACCAAAGTCAGTGATTTTAAAATCTCATTAATACACAAAGGAAAATGAATGTGTTTCATTTCATAATTCAGTTATCAATAGCATTTAATGAAATCAGAGGAAACAAGTCTGGCTCTTGCTACAAAAATTTAATTAGTTTTTTAATTCACATTTAAACTAAATTCTGGTTTATTTATGACAGTTTTTTAAAACATTTTCAGAAATAATTTCAGTAGTATATTTATGAATATTCATAAAATCCTTATTATACTTTGCTATGAAAAAATATCATAAATGTTTATCATCTTAAAATTAACTCCAAAACTTCTGAACTATTTTGTACTACCAGGATGTTATTAGTATATTACTTGAAATAAATGGAACATTGGTGTGGTGATGGTATTATAGAAATTTTCATTGTAACAGTATTTGACCTATTTAAGACATATAGCTTGCTTTTGTGGAGGGAAAAATGGGACAAGTTATACTTTACGTGGCTTGAATTATCAGCCAGCCAGTAGGTTTTATATTGAGGTTGGTATCCTAGGATATGAAAGAAATATATCCCAAAGGAAAGAAAAAAGAAATGTTTCATTACTTTCATTTAACATATAAAAGTATGTCTTATAACCCTTATAAAAAGGGAAATGTTACACAGTCAAACAACATACTGAGATATTAAAGCTACAAGATAACATTCATCACAAAAATCCTGTGAAGTAGGTGTGTTACTTCCCTATTTTACCATGAGGAAACAGGCACACCTTAAACTATCCAAGGTCACAGAGCTAAAACAAATTCAAAATCAGTCAGTGTGGCTCTAAAGTCTAACAGCTCTTAACAAGCCTTTTTACTGAACTGTTATTTTTTTCTCTTTAAGCATATTGAAGAAACTTGCATGAAAGAGACATTAAGAAATCATGTTTTCTCTTAAATGTTTAATTATTTAAATAGTGATAGTTTTGACTTTTTAAATAACTGGTTAGAGCCTTTTTGAAAGCTTTATGCAGTTAAAAAAAGACTTGAAAAAGCGTCAACCTTCTAAAATTGAGTTGTATTCCTGAGAGTAAACTTCTATTTAACTTTATGTTAACAATAATACATTCTTTGACCCAACAACCCAAAGCACTTTAAAGTGTAAGCAGAATATTATTCATGATAGTAATCATAACTTGAAAACATCCAAAATAATTATCAATACAAGAACGACTATTTTACATAAGTAATAGTATATCCACAGAGTGGTACTATGCAAACAGTAGAAATGATAAATATATGTTAATATGAAAAGACTTTTGATAAATTGCTTCCATGACATTCGAGTTATAAAACACAATAGGATGGTCCCATTATTGTAAATTTACTTAAATGTAGAGATGCATACAAGAAAGACTAGAAGGATATTTATCAAAATGTAACATCTCTGGGTAGTATGAGTACAATTGACTTGATTTTTTATAACTTTTTTTTACCATAAGCACTTTACTTTTCTAATCACAAATAAAATATTTTTTTCCCTTAAAGAGTATGGTATTTACTGAAAGAAGGAACAGTATTATTTTGCTACAAATCTTAGGTTCTAAAGCTTTCATAGCAAATGACATGAATACTAGTGTACATAGATACAGTACTATAGAATTCAAAAACAAAAAGACATTTCAAATGGCTCTTAATTAGCTAAAAGAGCGATTAACACAAACTTTTCTTAGTTTAGATAAATTTGAAGCAAATCATTCTTAGAAGTTATACCACAGCCATTTTCAACCGGCTCTCTGAATTTTCCCCTTTGCAGGTGTAAAGCAGATTCCATTCAGTGCAGTGAATGAGTCAGCCACCAGCTAAAATCCATTTCCCTGTCAGGTCATTTTTGCTGCCTTTTTTTTTTTTTTTAAGATTGTATTTATTATGTTAGAGGGGAAGGGGAGGAGAAAGAGAGAGAAGCATCAATGTGTGGTTGCCTCTCACATGCCCCCTACTGGGGACTTGGCCTGCAACCCAGGCATGTGCCCTGACTGGGAATTGAACCAGGGAACCTTTGGTTGACAAGCCGGCACTCAGTCCAGTGAGCCACACCAGTCAGGGCTCATTCTTGCTTCTAAAACAGGCTGTCCAATAGAACTTTTTCTGCCAATGTTGATATAGACTCTATCTGTACCGTCCAATAAGGTAGCCCCTAGCCACATGTAGCTTTTGAGCTCTGGCAATGTGACTTGTATAAGCTATCTGTGCCTAATGGCTACTTTATGGAATGACACAGATAAGAATACTTACAGTATTTCCAATAACCCAGCTTAGAAAATACCAATTTAGAAAACTAAAGTTATAAACCCCAAATTAAGCTGAATAAGTGGTTCCTCTATAAGTAAGAGACATCAAATTTAAAAACACCAAATTTTTGTGCTTTTTTGGTGCTAATTTTGCCCTCTGGGGAACCCAATAAGATAACCACTGTTTTTGGTCACATGAACAATGTTTCTAGTGCCAAAAAATCTTTCTGACTAGATAATAACTAGTCATCAGTCTTAATAATCAATAGGTCACGTCCAGTTTCATAGTTAAATGAATGCTGTTGCTCTGTCCAGTTTTCTATTAATGATTACATTACCCTTTAGGTCATTAAAGACCTTACCTCAGAGCTAGTGACCTGGTATTTCATCCTGGCAGATAAGTGTTTCTTCCCTGGGCCTCTTTGCAGCTCATAGCTACTTTTCAGGTTAAATACAAACATTTTATCTGGGAAGAAAAAATATATACTCATATTTGTATGTTATGTTATATAAATTACATATTATGTGTCATATGTAAATTAATAAACTTGAAAAACACTAAGCCTCAGTAGTCAGAGAAATACAAATTAAAGCATTTTTAACTATCAGAGTGCAAAATTTTCAAAGATTTATAATATCTGCTTTTGGGAGAAGTACAAGAAAACTGTTACTCTCATATACTGTAAGACTATAAATGGATACAGCTATTTAAGAGGCAATTTAAATTTATCCAAATTAACCTCACATTTCTGTTTTTAGATGCCTGAAATATTCATTTATTCAGCAAAACATACGCAGAGACACACTGCATAGCACTGTTGGTAATAGTAAAAAATCAGCAACAACTTCAGTGTCCAATAGAGGAACGGTTAAATAAACTATAGCGTATCTTTATCATTCAGCAACTCAGAGAATAAATATCTCTACAGACTAACAGCAATCTCAGTCACATTGTAAAGCAAGTTACAAAACAGTACATGTAGTATAACTTCTTTTATGCTGTTAAAACCTACATTTCATGTGTATATTTTATTAACTAAAACAGAGATTATTAACCCAAACCTTTCTTTGTGTAGGTAAATGTGAGAAGCACATCATGCTTAGAAATTATGCCAGGGCCATCTCCAACTTGTTCTCAGAATGTGTCCCTTTGGAGTGTAGAGCAGATTCAGTGCAAATCAGTGCAGTGAGTAGAGTTAGCTGTCAGCTAAAATAGATTTCCCTTTCTGCTCATCCTGGGTAGAAAAGGGTGTAGAATACACACCCAGCTGTTGACATTGGTCATCGCCAGGGAAAAAGGCAGTTTTGGCGGGGGGGGGGGGGCAGGTGAGAAGAAAAGGGAGTTACCTTTTTAAGTTCTCACTCAAATCTTTGTTTAACCAAGAACATACTCATATTCTCATACTCAAATTTAAAAAAAGAAATTTGAACAAATGCCCGATCACCTTTTCTCATAATGCTAAAATACTTTTCTCACTATATTAAGTGTAGGTGCTCCTTTCATATACAGCAACATGTTTATATGGGTGTTTATAAATAAAACACGTTGATGAAAGAAGAAAAATTGTATTTCCTAATTTCAGATAAACTAAAACTATCGTTTTGGAAAAAGAAGGGCCAAAAATCTGGGTTCCCTACCGGAAAACAACACAGGCATCTCAGCTTTCAGATATTTTTACCTTCTGTAAATAAATCCTGGCTACTCCTAGGAGAGCCACTAGCCATGCAAAGGATAAGAATCTTACAGAGGAAGATCCAGAGACAGGTACATAGTGTGCCCTGGAAAGCCAGTTCCAGGTTCCTTGGGATCCTAGACAAGCTATTAGGATCTTAAACTAGCAGTCCAGAGAATTCTGTCTTCTGTAAGGTATTTCTACAATCCCTGGTGCACCCATCGGAATGTTTATCCCTATACTCCCACAGCACTCTTAACTTTCAGTACTTGGGGGACTTGGCATTGTTAGACCAGTAGGGGAAGAGAGTATGGGCTTTCAAGTCATTACCAATCTTATTGTGTCCCCTCTCAGACAACTTACTTGGTTTTTTAAAAGAGTTTCCTTTTCCTTGCCCTGACGTGTGTCTCAGTGGGCTAAGCGTTGATCCACAAACCTAAAGGTTGCTGGTTCGATTCCCAGTCAGGGCAAATGCCTGAGTTGCCAACCAGGTCCCTGGTTGGTGGTGTGTGAGAGGCAACCAATTGCTGTTTCTCTCCGTCTTTCTCCCTTCTTTCCCCTCTCTAAAAATAAATAAAATCTTTTTTTTTTTTAAAGAGTTTCCATGTCTTCCTCTCTCAGATGCAGAGAATACACCCACCTTTCTGGTTTCTTAAAAAGATTAGCAATAGCTGTGGCCAGGTGGCTCAATTGTTTAGACCATGTCCCATACACCAAAAAGTTGCTGATTTGATCCCCAGTCAGGGCACATTACCTAGGTTGTGGGTTTGATCCCCAGTCAGGATGCATATAGGAGGCAACTGATCCACATTTCTCTCTCTTTTTCTCCACGCCCCTCTCCCCACCAAAAATCAATAAACATATCCTCAGGTGAAGATTTAAAAAAAATAAAAAAAGATTAGCAGTAATGTATATAAAGCACCTCAGTGATCTGTCAACTGAAACAGTGATCAAAAGTGATTATCAGTAATCTGGCATGAGTATGAAAAGTTTTTATTATCAGCATAGTGTAGTATTCATGGATTCTATCAAGCTATCCCTACAATATATCCTCCAAGAACAAGTCCCTTTTAGAGGATACCTGCATGCACACCATATATGCCTGGGAAAGACCCACGTTCTGGTTTTTACTTCCCTTTTCTCTCTTCCTCTTCACTCCCTTGGCATTTAGAAAGCCCCTCCTTAAAACCTAAGTCTTTTGTTAGATCTTTGCAACCGATGACTTCAGTGGTGGTCTGCCTTCTTTTAAAATCGTTAGCATTTGCTGGGACTTCTCCATTTCTTCATAGAGTTCTCCAGGGTTTTTTTTTTCCCCAGATAGCTCTTTTTATTCATTGATTTCTATTAGAAGCAGGTCAGTTTGCTGGGGACAGGAAAATGTTGAAAAACACAGCAAATAAGACACAAGCTAAATAAGCTGCAATTGCCGTCCAAAACCGTGGATCTTTCAGCAGTGTCTTATCAAAGCAGCTAAACACGGTGTAACCTATGGACATTCCAGCAAGTCCACCTGCAATATGAGCTGCAAAAGACACCTTAGGAGAAAAGGGGGAAAATGGAAATAAGTGGAAAGAATACTAATTACATATTTCAGTTGCACCTCTCTTACAAAACAACAAATACCATCACAATCACACAAGAGTTTTTAAAGTCTGAAGAACAAGGAGCTCAGGCAAGAGACACAAAACTCCAGGTGCACAGAGTGGAGATGTTCTAAAATATGCAAAGCTAGAAAACGTCATTTCACTGACTCTCTGAGTACACAAGATAGAGCGATTGTTTCTCTTTCTTCTTGATCATCATCCCATTTTGGGGGGTTCTATATAGAGCCAACCAAGAGAACAGAGTTGAGTTGTATGAGGGATCTCTATAGCAGCATAATCTGTTCCCGCATGTCAGATTTAAAACACAGCAGCTACCAAATTCAAAGGCTAATTCCAATAAAATGAGATCTTTGTAAGTTTTCTTTATATTTTAAATTTATCTGGGCCCAGATTTTCATTGCTGATTTCCACCCTGCTTTTTCATTCTCTGTGAACAGCGAAGTCCCTTCTCTCCTGTTCCGGAACGGCTACCAGTATGGCCGATGCAGAGAAGTAGAGCCAGTGGTCAGGGCCATGAGAGAGTTAAGTGAAAGGGACAATCCAAAAGTCTGGTTTTCTCAGTTTTCTCCGGATGGAAATTTTACTGCCCTAAATCACAGAATTTTTGCCCCTATTTGATGACCCTTTTTAACTATTAATAGGATAGGTAAACAAATTTTCATTGAGAAAAAAAATAAGCCAAACTCACCGGTGACCCATTTAGAGGGACAAAGAACCTTCGGTACAGAGCAAATCCCAAATCCGATGCAACTAGGAAGAAAGGCAACCTGATGAAGCATCAAAGCCTCCACAACAGTGCACCAAATGCTTTTGGTTTCCCGCTAATAATGGTAGCAGCTAACATTTATTGAGATTTATTCTGTGCGAAATGTTGTTCTAAGAGCTTTACAATCGTTGATCCTCACAATGACCCTAAGAAATTGGTACAATCATTATCCCGTTTTGCAGATTTATTCACCCAACAAGTATTTATTATCTCCTATGTGCCAGGCACTGTTCTAGGTGGTGGGCATACTGCAGTGAGATCAGCCCTGTCTTGCAGAGCTAATAAGTGAGGCAAACAAGTTAAAACACACAGTGTGTCAAGTGGTGCTAATGCTGTGGAGGAATACAAAGGGAGGAGGGAGAACTGGGATGTGACTTTTAATAGGAGAGTCAGGGAGGATCTCGCTAAGCAATGACATTTGATGAAGATAAGTGAACAAGGCATGCTGACCTTTGAAATATGAGTCTGCCAGGCAGCAGGAAGAGCAAATGCAAAGTCCCTAAGGCAGGAATGTGCTTGGCGTACTTGAGGAATGCCAAAGCCGTTGATCTTGTTGGGTAGGTGGTTTTCAAAGTGTGGTTCCCTCCTCACCCCAACGCAGCAGTAGCAACATCACCTGGAAGCTTATTAGAAGTTAAAATTCTCAGGCCCTCAGCAGACTTAATGAACCAGAAACTCTGAAGGTAAGGCTCATGGCCTGTTTTAACAAGACTTCCAGAGTGATTCTGGACTACCATTAGCGACAAAGTGATAGGTGATGAGCAGGGCACAGACCATGTAGGGGCCTTATGTGTTAATGTAAGAATTCTGACTTTCTTTTAAATTATATTTTATTGATTTTGCTATTACAGTTGTCCTGACTTTTCCCCCTTTGCCCCCCTCCCTCAGACAGTCCCCCCAGGACTCTGGCTTTTGTTCTGAGTGATAGGAAGCCTTTGAAAGCTTTTGAGCACAGGAGTGACATGATCTATCTTGGGTTTTTAGAAGCTCATTCTCATGGTTATATAGGGACTAGACCATAGGTGAGCAAGGACAGGAGCAGGAAGACCAGCTAGATTACTGCTATTTCAGCAGTCCAAGTGAGGAATGGTGGGGTATTTTATACATAAAGAAACCAAGACACAGAGATTAAGTACTTGGCCAAGTACCTAACACAGCTCAGAGGCAGGGGCAGGATTGGAACCTTAAGCAGTATGATTCCACTCTCATCCTCTACATTAAACGCATTGCCTGTGATTTCCATCAGGAGTACTGAAGATGGGCCAAGAAAGGGAATGAGCCCACATTCTCTAATGAACAGTCAGAGCCAAAACTTAGACATTCTTCAAATAGCTCAGATCTGTGCTGCGAAAGGAGACTCCAGGGTTCTTAGCCTAGAACTCTGCCCAACATGTGCAGAACTTGGAAACATCTCCTGCAGCTGTCACATTCCACACCCATTCCCCAATTCCCTGTGCTCCACTTAGTGAGCCACTGTGTCCCAGGAGAGGGAAAGACTAGTCCTTGCCTTTGGGAAAATAGCTTCAGGACCATGTGTTCTGGCTCCTTTCCCTTTCAGTACTGTATTGAGGTTGAAGTCACTGGACAGGAATGGAGATCAAGGAAGTACTCGATATTAATTTAATTGTAAATGGCCATTATACAACGTTCTGGCTAAATGTGGCTTTATGGTATTTTCAATCATTTGCATTTCCTGATCCCATGTAAATGACATACAGAGATGGAACTAGAAACGTATAAGAAAAACCCTGCCAGAGAATAGGGCCGACTGCTTGGAAACAGTTACTCTGGTCTAGTCTTCAGGGTAGGGGGCCAACTCACAACAAGTCTTTGTAACCCTTAGCATGTCAATTTCTCTATCTCATTTCTCTTTTATCTTGCCCCCCTCCACACAGCTCTGTCTGGCTCTGCTTCCTGGGGGAGTTTGCTTGTAAGTTGCTGCAGTCTCTAATCAAAGACAAGTTTTCCCACCTGAAAAGATGCCCTTATTCCAATAAATCAAATCTTTCTCCTCACTAAAAATTTGGCACTCATTTTAAGACAGTTGCCTTTAATTTTTTTTTTTTTTGGAAGGATGAAAATGTGAGATTTCTTTAATTTTTCCCAAAGGGAAGCTCAGTTGCTTTGTCAGAAGGCACATCTGACAAATAATGCTTAATGAAGGAAGATGCTTAAGGCCAATTGTCCTCCACAATTAAGAACAACTATTACCATTAAAATACACACACATGCACACACACATACACACACTTTCCCAACAGAATGTTTTTAAAATTAAAATGTTCTTGTATTAATCTAGGGTGTGTTTTAACTTTTCTAATTTAAAATAGTAGGTAAACAAGGCCAAAGAACTTTTAGAAATGATGTATGCAGGGAAGTGAGGAAGATTAATGTTGGCATGTTCTACCTCTGTTTGTAAAATATAATAAAAGCACATCATTCAGTGACTATCACTTACCTCAAATGACATAACGTTACATAAACTATGTTTGGAGAAACCATGTGCATGAGCAACATTGGGTTTTTACTCCAACATTGAAGATTATTCAAGAAGAGTATAAAAACAATTTCCCCATCAAAGGTGTAAGACTTATTTTATAAAAGTCACTCATAGTTACCCAAAAGAGCAGATTGAAGAACAAGGTAACTTGTGTAACAACATTTTTCCATCAAAGGACTTGTCTCTTGGGTCTGGTTGTGACTCTTAACAACCCAGGCAGCACCTTGGCTCCTGCAACAACTCCTAACTCACTCCCAGACTTGCTCCCCTGTCTGTACTAACAGCCTTCCCCCACCTCTTGGATTTCTTCTGGAGAATGCAGCCCAGGATGGCTATGAATGTGGCCCAACACAAAATTGTAAGTTTACTTAAAACATTTTGAGATTTGTTTGTGATTATGCGTTGCAACGTATTTAGTGTGTGGCCCAAGACAACTCTTCTTCTTCCAGTGTGGCCCAGAGATGCCAAAAGGTTGGACACCTCTGATGACAGAGTACGGTATAGACTATAAACAAGTCACTGATTTTCTATCAGGATCAAACATTGTTTTTACAGTTAAGCTGTTCATAAACTGAATTTAGTCACTTTTCTCAGAGGCAGTTATCCCTGTTCCCACAGTGTGTATAATTGAACTCTTGACACCAATAAGCAGAATCATTTTTTCTTACCATGTGGACAGCCAAAACCTTAGGCTTTGTCAAGTGTCATCTCTATCTTGGCCCTCAAATCTGACTCCACAGTCTGACCCCAACATCTGCCCTTCTCCCCACACCCTCTGAGCAGATACAGCTTCAGTTGGATCAGCTCTGGAAACACAAGTAACTGGCCGTGCTTTTGCTCTTGTTTTTGTGGATGAAAAAAAGGGTTCTTTAGAAAGTAACCTCACAGAGCAAGCTGATCATAAGTCCCTAACTGGGCAGGTCATGGTGGGTAAGCTGCCAAGCCCCAACCCTGTAACTTGTTTAGTGAAAGGTTTTAAGCCAGCCCTGTCTATTGTTCTTGTGCACCTAGGTTCACACACCTTTGAAATGTCTAAATACCCCTGGAAGGGTGTATTAACCCTCAAGAAAGCACCTAACTTGCTAACTATCTTTTAATCCAGTCCCTGCCTTGCCTTCTCCAATCTTTCCTTACTTTCCTCCTTAAATTCAAATGCATAAAAGAAGCTACAAAACTACTTTCCAGAGCATTTGAGATCTTGCTCCCCAGCCTATGTCATCAGTTTGGCTCAAAGAAACTCATGAAAATTCTTTCCAGGTTTGGACATTCTCACATTGACATTTTCTTCTACCTTGTGCAGTCCGCCACCATCCAAAACTCTACCCTGACTTTCGGACTCAGCTAAAATCCCACCTCTTCTCCAGATTGAACAGTCCTCCTAAAATTTCTTTAGTATGTAATTCTCTTCTGTAATTCTTGGAGCTGTCAAAACCCTTATTTGTCACCCTGTTAGTTCCCTGAACTCTCATTTCCAACTCCTCCACACTCATTTTCAGTCCTCAGGACTACTCCACGCTTACATCCTAGATTAGTTTTTTTTTAATTTGGAAATTTAGATATTGAGGAAGGACATAGATAGAAGTGGTTTTCAAGCTTTCCCTTTTCAGAAAAAAAAATTATATACAGAATCCAATGTATGAACAAGAAAAATTTAGTATATAAAACAAATGAAGTGACTGTGGTTGAAGTGGATGGAGCCTAGAATCTACTCTAAGAACCACCCATGAGGGTCTGTGAAAACCCCGCCATTTACACCTTTTTGCTTAGGGCTATGGGAGCTCACAATTTTCTGACCAGGCTAGCAGTCATCCTCCATGTTAGTGTATAGGAAATGTGAGAAGATCTGAAGGATGAACCGGTAAAACTGAAGATGTGAAACATTCACAAAACCAACTTACTTACGACAGTGATGATCAGTAGTCTGACAATTCCAAAGGCAGGAATCATTTCTCGAAAATTCTTGCAAAGATAAATAAAAATAAGATAAGCTTTCTATTGGCAAATGAAACTTCAACTGTACTCTTCATCTTCTTTTTCACATAGAATAAAGTCTGAGTGTCAGATATTTGCAAAACAAAGTATTGAATTAATAGCTGAGTTTTCAAATATATTTGGGAAATACAACTCTGGTGCACTTTGAGAACTAAATTGAAATATGACGTTTAACTCCATGCATGATGTAAATTAGACACAATTTTATTATAAGGAAATGATCTAAATATAAGTAACAAAATCAACACATAACATTAGATGGATAAGTAAACAGACAGACAGGTATACTGTCAAAATAAGTCTGATGATACATTTCCAAGTTTTTTTGGTTAACATTCATTTGATACTTCTTTATCCTCTTTCTGAATAGGAGTGAGGAAAGAACTAAAATTGGAGTACTACCTTATTTTTTTTTTTTTAGATAATTTCAAAAAAATTTAAATGTTGGTCAGGAAAAACACATCTCAGTCCAGCTTGCATAACCTCGTGTGTTACTGGAGAATGAAGTCAGGAAGACGTTGCCACTTTAATTTATTGAGTTACATATCCATTTCCTTTCAAGTTATTCACTCTCTTCCCAAGGAGTAAAGATGTTGGATTAGCCATGATCATTCTAAATAAATTATTTTCAAACTGTTGTGACTATGACTCACAGTAATAAATAATATACATAAAAATCCAGGACACACATAAATCAAACTAATTCTTATGCATGAGGCATACTGGAAATTTTTTTCACTGTTTTCTTTTTGCTTAATTTTTCACAATCCTTAAACTGAGTTCACAACCACTAATGGATTGCAAGCCAAAGAATGAAAAAAAATTTTCTAAATGACTTCTATTTTTGGAACAGTTTTATAATTGCTTCATATTTTTCCTCTTCCAATATTTTTAAAGTACAGATATATAAACATATATGAATAAACTATAACTACTTTATATTGTAAAGTATACCTACATGATTAAAGGTTAAGAACTAGACAGGATTTTTAGCCTGTTTTAAAATGAGGTTGACATTCTCACATACTATATCATGGAAATGTAAAACAGTATGTAAACTTTGGAGGATGATTTGGCTTTGATATCCACTTTTAGGGAATTATGCTACAAAAAAAAAATCACACAAATGCAAAAGGATAAACATAAAAGAACATTCTTTACAGCATTATTTGTAAGTGTGAAAAACTGAAATCACCCCACATTTTTTTCAATGAAACATTAAATAGTCAGGATGCAGTTCTTTGGGGGTGCTGTGGAGCACTTGAAAAGATATAGGTGGATTTCTGTGTACTGACGTGGATAGATACCTGGTCAGGACACTCTGTGTTAAAATGCAGAACACAGCAAGGGTAGTTCTCTTTTTGTAGTATTAATATTGGTAGGATTTTGAATACAAAAAGAAGATATGAAAGGATGTATATCAAGCTGTTAACATACTATATTGGGGATTTTGACTTTGTATTTTCCAATTTAAAATTTTATTGAGTATTCATTAGTTTCGAGACTGGGGAAAAATAAAGATAAAATATGAAAAAACTCTAGTGGTCAAAAGGAAGATGAGCACTCATTAACTATTAATAAATAACAATTCCCTAAACCAAATACCAGTTATTGTTTAAAAAAAAAGTCCATATATTACATTCCCAAAGTTCTTACCACTAGAACATTCATAAAATAGCCTCCCATCAGAGCATAGACTCCTCCTGAAGCACCCACAAGATATTTGTGTGGATCAAAGATGGAGCTGGCAAGGGATCCTAAAGAAATAAAACACAAAGGATCAGACATGACTATGAGAATTATGAAAGATAAATCTTTCTAATCTAAGGTAAAAGTTTGGGAAGCATGGGTCATTATCATATTAACAAACAACATATTCACTTTGTTCCTTCCATACTATAAAAGTATAGCTATGTGAGCTAACTACCTCAATTTTTCTGAAACATTGAATGTTCAGCATGAAGTGATAAAAGCATAGACCCTGGAGCCAGAATTACGAGTTGCTTAAGAGTCTTGAGCAAGTTTCTAACCCTCTATATGCCTTAGTTTCCCTACCTACAAAATGGGGATATTAACAGAACTTACTTCAATGGGTTGTCAGGAGAAGTAAATGAGTTGATATGTGCATCATGCTTAGAACACTACTTGACATTTATTATATGCTTGTTAGGTTGTTGTTTGGTTTTTTTTTTTCCAAAATATCCTACATGTTTAGCCAAAACTATCAAAATACCTAAGACAGGCCAACATTTTATCTTATCTAATGACTATCTTTCTCATGGAGTCAGGATTTGGCCTCAGAATTCTTCTCAACATACCATTCAATCAGATTCACCAAGTAAGATGAAATCTATTTGTTAGCCTAATCTTAGATTGCCTGAACCAAAAAAAAAAAAAACTGGAGGAAGGCTTTAAAACCACCTCTCTATAGTACTTATTTGGTCTCTTGCTTTCAAGGCCCTCCATTCCTTCAGACACAGTATAATACTACTTCATGCAAAACAGACCAAGTACCTGACCTTAGGAATCTCACAAATGGATGAGCAAACAATCATCAAATGCAGAATATAACAACTACAGGTTTTAATGTAATAAATTTGCTATGGAAGTACCTAGAAAGGAATGACTCTCAATAAAAAGGTGGAGGCCCTACTACTCTGAGAAGGAGATGATAGCTTTTTTATTAAAAGCTGAAGAAACTTTAAATTTTGGACAGCAAAAAGAAAGGACAAGAAGATATTCAGGAGGTAGGGATCTAGAAAAGCAAAGAATAGAAACAGAGGTATATGGATGACTAAAGGTCAGTACTAAGTAGTTCAATGGGTTTAGAGCAGTGGTTCTCAACTTACAGACTAGGGTTAGCTACGGTTGTTGCATCTTAATCATACAGGAAATTTATTTTTTAAATATGTATACAAATGTCCACTTCTGGCCATGATGAAGTCCCAAGGATAAGACTTACCCTCCCACTTGAAATAGCTAATAGCACTGAACAATATATGAAACAATGGTCTTCAAGATACTGGACACCCGAGAACAAAGGACAGTCAACCCTGAGAGATACAAAATAAATTAGATGAGTTGCCTGATTGCCCAGCTTAGTGCCTTAAGAGAGATCACAGGCTGCAGTGCATGGAAGGGGAACATGGGTAGACTATCAAAAGACAGTACCAGAAAAGAGAGACCTACATAGAAAGAGGACTCCAAAGAGGAGTGTATGAGGAAATTATCCAAATGAAGAAAAGAACCACCAGAAAGGAGTAGAGGAAAGAGTACTTCCTGCTCACACAGCACCAGAGAGAGCTCAGTAACTTTCCAAACTAGAAAATGTCATAATCCATACAACATTGAGTAATGTACATAGGAGGGTACTGCACCAGCAGTGAGGAATAATTAGCACTAAACACGATTCAAAAACATAGTTTTACATAGCAAATATTATGAGAAAAAATGTAAGGAATATTTGTGGGGATACAATAATATCCATCATCCAAAGGTAAAATGTCTAACCTCAAAACAAAAATCGCCAGACATAAGAGAGAGGCAAGAAAATGTGACTCATGATAAGAAGAAAAAAATAAGGTAAAACCTACCCAAACTGACATGTGTTAGGTTTAGCAGTTATGGCAATAAATAATTATTACAACCATATATGTTAAGTAGAGGCATATAAGATATAAAAGAACTCTTATCAAACTTCTAAAGATGAAAACTACATGTCTAAGATGAAAAAATAAACGTGAGATTTTTGGCAGAAAAGACATTCCAGAATAAAGGATCAGTGAACGTTAAGACATGGCAACCAACATGGCAATAAAACTATCTAAAATGAAACACCGAAAAGAATATTCTTAAAAATACATATAGTACCAATGAGCTGTGGGTCAATTTCAGGCAGCCTAATAAATGCATAATTGGAGTCCCCAAAAGAGAAGAGAGAAGGAAGGTACATAAAAAATATTTGAAGAAATTATGGCCAAATTTTTCCTGAGTTCTATGAAAACTATAACCCCACATATCTAAGAAGCTCAGAAACACCCCAAACACAAGAAACATGAAGAAAACCACACCAAAGTACAACAAAATCACATGGCTCAAAATCAGTGAAAATCTTACAAGCAGCCAGAGTAAAAAGACATGTTTCGAGGACTTCTGATCAAGATGCAGGCATAGATATACATGCTTTACCTCCTAGCACAACTACAGAGAAAATTACATCTAGACTACAAAACAAATAACACCCAGAACCATCAGAAAATCGAGCTGTATGGAAGTGTGATAACAAAGGATTTAAAGAAGCCGCATTCATCCAAACAGGTGGGAGGGGCAGAGATGCAGAACGAGGTGGAGAGGCACAGAGAGGCAGGGCGCGGTGGGTAGAGCATGGAGCCGCAGGATTGGTGTGGAGAGGCAGCGGAACAGGTGCGTGCACATTTACTTGCAGTGGGTAAAAATTGAGAGGAATACATCGAGAGCAAGGGAATCCCAGCTCCAAACCAGACCACCAAGCAGCCCAGGATTCCAGTGCCAGGAAGATAAATCCTCATAACTTCTGGCTGTAAAAACCAATAGGAGTGGGCTGCAGAAGAAACTGCCAGATTATCAAGAGACTCATCTTAAAGGGCCTGCATGGATTTAGGACTTAATGCAGACCTACCCCCGTTGGGGAATCAGCACCAGAGCAACAGCTGGAAGGGCACATGTGGCATACAGGAAGAAAGTGAGGAGGCTGGAAACAGGGCAAGTGCTGGGAGATAGCTTCCTCAAAGGCAAAACTTCAGAAGCGAGGCAGCGGCATTGTCCCCTCTCCAAGCCCACCCCTACCACAGAGCCACAAAGAGGTAAAGTAGGTTGCCCCACCCCAAGTGATTACCCAAGGCTCTGCCCCACACAATTTACAGGTTTGCTCTTCTACAAAGGCCATGCTACTAAGACAAGGAGTCAAACCAGCTTTACCTAATACACAGAAGCAAAACACAGGGAGGTGGTCAAATTAAGGAGACAAAGAAATATGGCCCAATTGAAAGATCAGAACAAAACTCCAGAAAAAGAATTAAATGAAACAGAGATCACCAACCCATAAGATACAAAGTTCAAAACACTGGTTATCCAGATGTTCAAAGGACTCACTGAGTATAGCAATGGCATATAAAAGGCCCATACAGAATTGAAGATTATATTAAGTGAAATAAAGAAAAATCTACAGGGAACCAACAGCGGAGGGGATGAAACTAAGTATCAAATCAACAATTTGGAACATAAGGAAGAAAAAGGCATTCAATCAGAATAGCAAGAAGAAAAAAGAATTTGAAAAAACGAGAACAATATAAGGTGCCTCTGGGACATCTCCAAACTTACCAGCATCCTAATCATAGTGATGCCAGAAGAAGAAGAAGAGCAAGAAATTGAAAACTTATTTGAAAAAATAATGAAAGAAAACTTCCCTAATTTGGTTAAGGAACTAGGCATACAAGTCCGGGAAGCACAGACAGTCCCAAACAAGTTGGACCCTAAAAGGACCACACCAAGACACATTATAGTTAAAATGCCAAAGGTTAAAGATAAAGAGAGAGTCTTAAAAACAGCAAGAGAAAAGCAGAAAGTTACCTTCAAAAGAGTTCCCATAAGACTGTCTGCTGATTTCTCAAAAGAAACATTGCGGCTAGTAGAGACTGGCAAGAAATATTCAAGGTGATGAAAAGCAAGGACCTACAACCTAGGCTATCCAACAAAGCCAATATTTGGAATGGAAGTGCAGATAATGTGCATCCCAGACAAGGAAAGCTAAAGGAGTTCATCGTTACCAAGACATTATTATGTGAAATGATAATGGGACTTATTTTAGAAAAAGATCAAAACTATGAACATTAAAATGGCAACAAATTCACAACTATCCTAATCTAAAAAAAGACAAACTAAGCAAACAACCAAAACAGGAACAGAATCAAAGATATGGAGATCATTTGGAGGGTTATCAGCTGGGAGACAGAAGGGGGAGAATAGGGGAAACGGTGCAGGGAGTAAGAAGCATAATTGGTAGGTACAAAAGAGACAGGGGAATGTTAAGAATAGTATAGGAAATAGAGAAGCCAAAGAACCTATACACACAACCCATGAACATGAACTAAGTGAGGGGATTGAGGGAGGAAATGGGGGTACCGGGTGGAGAGGGGCCAAGGGGGAAAATTTGGGACAAGAGTAATAGCATAATCAATGATATACTTTAAAAAATAAAAATAGGAACAGAAAAAAGAAAAACCAAATCCCATTAGAGCTTTTTTGTAGAAATTGACAAGCTGATTCTAAAATTGATATGAATCCCTAGCTGGTGTGGCTCAGTGGATTGAGTGCTGGCCTGCAAACCAAAGCGTCACCAGTTCGATTCCCAGTGTAGGGTACATGCCTGGGTTGCAGGCCAGGTCCCCACTAGGGGATGCACAAGATGCAACCACACATTGATGTTTCTCTCCCTCCCTTTACCCCTCCCATCCCTTCTCTAAAAATAAATAAATAAAATCTTTTAAAAAAAATAATAAAATTGATACGGAAATGCAAAGGACCAAGAATAGCCTAAACAACTTTGGAAAAGAGTAAAATTGGAATATAGCACTTTCTGATTTCAAGACTTATTAGAAAACTACAGTAATCAAAGCAATATGGTACGGTATAAACAAGTATATGAGTGAAACATAGTACAGAAGTAGACACATGCATATATAGAGTCTGGCAGAAGTAAGGCCTGCTAGAGTGTGGTTGC